GCCATAATAATTATGTGCTCTTATTTCATTGACTGGTTGCTTCATACTGTTATGAGCCCGAGGGGCTGATACTGTTATGAGATACTGAGCCCGAGGGGCTGATATTGTTCTGAGATACTGAGCCCGAGGGGCAGATTTCTACTTATTATTTTGATACTGAGCCCGAGGGGCAGATTTCTATTTGTTGTTTTGATATTGAGCCCGAGAGGCAGACTTCTACTCGTCATTTTACTGCCAAATTACCTGTTTTTACTGGTTTAAAAGAAATTTCACATGATGTTTCACTGAATTGTTATTTTAAATGATTTCACTGCTTCTGTATAGAGTGTTGTGTGCCTTAACATGTTTTCTTATCTTCAGTTATTATTTATATTTATTACTCACTGAGTCGGAGTACTCACATTACTCTCTGCACCATGTATGGAGGTACTGGTATTCCTGAGGTATAGAGCGAGTTTTCTGCTGTTCAGTTTTCATCGGAGTTATCGAGGTATCTACATGGCGTTCGCAGATCCGTTTTCTCCCTTATCTTTTGTATTTATGATATCTTCAGATGTCGTTCCTAATTCCATACTTTGTAGAATTTTAGTAAACTTAGTAGTAGCTCATGACTTGTGACACCCCGGTTAGGGCTGAGTTGGGTTGGATTTCCGTATTTTATCTATACTTTCCACTATTGGATATTATTAAACCATGTTTATACTATAATTGTGTTAATTAATTATCTTAAAAGGATGAATTAGGTTGAATGGATGGCCTTATCTTCATGAGAGGCGCCATCACCACCAGGTTCGGGAATTGGGTCGTGACAGTAGACCACCACGAATTCGTCAATGCACTCTCGAAAGACTTGGTTCATCAAGGTGCAAAATGTAGTTGGGGCGTTAGTCAAGCCGAACGGCATAACCAGGAAGTCGTACAACCCATATCTTATCACACAGGTCGTATGTGTTCATCACCCTCTGCAGTCCGAACTTTCCAATAACTTGCCTTCAGGTCTATCTTGGTGAATACCATCGCACCACCCAGTCTATCGAACAAGTCTGCCATTAGCGGAATAGGATACTTGTTCTTCACAGTGATTTTGTTTAGAGCCCGATAGTCCACACAGAGTCGCAAGCTGCCATCATGTTTCTTTTAGAATAGCACAGGGGACCCATATGGGGATTTGGAGGGCATGATGGTCCCTATGTCTATCATTTTCGTCAATTGTCTCTGAAGCTCGGTGAGTTCGGGTTGTGACATTTTGTAAGGTGCCAGGGTGGGTGGCTTTGCGCTCGGCACTAACTCAAATTCATGGTGCAAAGTGTGCCTAAGTGGTAGTTGCTTTGGCATGTCTTGTGGCATGACATCTTCAAACTCTAGTAGTAACTCCTTCACGGGTTCATAAATGGGACCCGAGGAACGTTCTATATCTTCAATGCAGAGGGTTGCCAGGAACGTAGGTTCATATCTTTTGACCCCCTTCTTCAACTGCAAGACCGAAATATTCTCAACGGCTATCTTCATGGGCATGCACGGGATAATGAAGGGCTTGGTCCCGTTGGCTCCCATCATCAGTAACATGCTAGCATACGGTACAAGCATGGTGTTGGTTTGCCTCAGGAATTCCAATCTAACTATTAACTCGAAGTCATCTATGATCACCACGCGTAGGTTGAATTTTCCTTTGTAAGGTCCAAGCTTCACTGGTACCTCTTTGGCTATCTCACCCACTGACTGAGGAGGTGAGTTGATAGCTTTGACACTACCTCTGCCCTTTCCTACAACTAGACCAAGGCGCTCCACCTGAGCCGAGGCTAAGTAGTTGTGGGTAGCACATGTGTCTATCATCGCCCGAATGAGTTTGCCATTTACCTTCATCTCGACGAATATTAAGGTCCTCTTTTGTTTAGGATGAGTCCTCTCATCCGCCTTCTTTTTTCCTTTTTTGGTGCTTGGGTAGGGGTCCTTCTTCTTACGGATACCAGCACTGGTTCCCGCTAAGGCTTTAGAAATGGAGCCAACAATTGCATTAAAGGAACCTACTGGTTCGGTCTGGTCTGCATCGTCTGTGTCGCCATCCGTCCCATCAGTAAAAGCTAGATGGGCGTTCATCTATGCATGTGGACACTCATTATTCCAATGTGGTCCGCCGCAATGACGGCATCCTGAAGGGGGCTTTCTCCCACGGTCATGGTTGTTTGATGCAGCACTATTGCTGCCTCAGGAAGGAGCCTTAGATTTGGTTGCACTCCGATCTCCCCCACTTCTGCTAGGGCCACCATTGCTAGGCTGGCCCCCTTTGAATCCCGCTCGGGCAGGTGGTTGAGGCCTATCCTTCCGAGCTTCCACTTGATAGTCCCCAAGGCATTCAACCGCTTGGATCTCCTTGGGTAGGGTATCTACCCTCTGTATTTGCAGCTCCATACGGGCATAAGGTTTCAACCCTTCTAGGAAGGTGAATAGCTTGTCTTTGTCCCTCATGTCATGTATGTTTAGCATGAGCGCGAAGAATTTCCACACGTAGTCCTACACTAATTTGGTCTGGCGGAGCTCTCATAGCTTTCTCCTTGTATTATATTCAACATTTTCGGGGAAGAACTATAGGCGTATGGCAGCCTTTAGTACTGCCCATGTCTCGAGAGCATCTTCACCGACCCTGATGGCTTCGTACTTCACCCGCCACCAGAGTTTAGCATCACCCTGAAGATACATGGCAACAGTTGCTACCTTCTTACCTTTTTGTAGGCCCCCAACATCATCGAAGTACTATTCGATGTCAAAGATGAAGTTTTCCACTTCCATGGCATTGCTAGCTCCACTATACGACTTTGGCTCAAGAATTTTCAGTTTTTGTGTCGTGGAAGCGGGGTTCACAGCGCCACGATTTGGTTTCCACCTCCTCGAAGCAGGACCTGTAAAGCAGCATCGACAACATTGAGCTTGTCTGTCAAGTCATCAATAGTTTGTTGCATGGCAGTCACCCTGCCTGTCTCTTGTGCCCTTTAAGCTAAATCCTCGGGATGCTCTTGTTAGAGTCCCTCGAATTTGACAAAAATTTCGACTGCCTCTCTCAGAGTTTGTCGGTCTCCCTCGGAGTCGCGACTGATATTTTCTATGACAACTTCGTCCTGGAGCACCCTGCGGTCCAGGTCGTCCAACCTTTGCACTAGGTTGGTTCTTAGTTCAGGCACCATATCCATGATGAGCCGTAATCCGTCAACCGTCTATTCAATTGCCGCAATGCGGTCCCCATGATTCACCATGGTCAGAAATGGTGGTAATGACAATTCGTTCCCTCGTTTGATGTCGAACCTGGCTCTGATACTAACTGTTACACGGCGTCTTCCTGAGATTCCTTGGAAGGGCGACATAAGGCTAAGCAACTGATGTTAGTGCAGTTACTGTCCGCCAACTGAGGTCCCCTTCGTACGCTAGACGAGATTGTCAGTACCGTACGGGAAAACTAATGTCAAGAGCAATTGAGAGAACAAAAATGAGAGTTGAGAATGAGAGAAAGCTTGATTGCATTAATGAAAGCTATTACAAAAAGACAACGCGGTGTCGAGGGGGAGAGACACCAGTACAGAGAATCGTTTGCTTGCTAGAAATTTTTGAATGCTTGATCCCCCCTAATAATGCTTAAAAAATAAACGAAAGCTACAATACTAGACTTGATTAAGCTAGAGAAATATAATGGAAGTACATGAAATAAAACTACTCTATATTTACAATGAAAAGGACTTAGTTTTCTACAAGGTATAAATAGGTCCGTTGTTAGCAGTATTGTCTTTGACATCACGGTCTGCGCGCGCGACGCTATTGGCATCTGCCTGCGGCGGGGCGCTGGCGAGGGATATCGGTGGGACGACAGAGACACATGCACGCTTGTCACTTGGCGCGGCCAAGACCACGAGGCCGTCCGTGACGCTAGGCATTGAGAGGCTTGCTAGGATGCCACGGGACGCGCCCAAGGGGACATGGGGCATGGCTGGAAAGCCGCCCATGACATGCGCGTTGCGAGGCAAAACGCAAGGTGAACCATCTCACTGCAACCCTCGCGTCGCGAGCTCAAACGCGAGGAAGTCTAGCCGCCTCGCGCTGTAATGCGTCACACATTCTCGAGTTAGGCAAAGCCTTGTGAACTGAAACTTTTTACTCTTCCACATAAGGCTTATTTCATGTGCTGCTTTGTCTAATTTCAAATAATCAAAGCTTGATGCACAATTCCAAGCTTTGTCCAACTGCCTCTCTTAATTTTTATTTGTTTTCTTTTGTCTTCAATTGCATGGAAATAATCATGAACCATTTTTGTAGTGCATAAAATACACATAAAATCTCTATTTTGCTCCCAATTTCATCTTCAACGTACCTACACATAAAATAAACTCAATTAAGCACATATATATTATAATTTAACATTAAAGCCCCTAAATGTAAGGTAAGTAATGCACTATATATTTATAGCCAAACATCAGACGATCACATAGATATTGATCTAACCGGATTACTAATGTCCAAATTAATAATCTTATGCTCAAGAACAAAATTTAGATTAAATTATAAGAAATTTTACTCTCATTATCATGATCTCAATCACGATGACAAGTCTCAAAATTTAATTAAAGACCTTATCAAATTAATCAAGCAATTAATAATAATGATAAAAGAATATCAAATGCCATATATATTTTATATGAAATAACGTTCACAAAAATATGTTCAAACCATCAAATATGAGATTGGATCTAGGACATATCTAATATATTCCTAATATCAACCTTTTACAAGTAATTGTTCTTCTAATTAATCATCTACCCAAAAACTTGAAGTATCATAATTTGTTTGTATTCGAGTTATATATAGTGATAATAAAAATATTTCAAACATTATATCAATCAATGTAGTTTAACCGGTAATAATATGTTACTTACTCTTACCATGCTAACATTTAATTTAGATAAAATGCATAAGTTCCTCCCTAAACTCGTTCAGATAATTCGGTTGAACACTAAGTGAATTATTTTTTGGCAAAAAAATAAAAAGATTTTTTTTTTATAAGCGCATAAATAACAAAAATAAATAAATAGAAAGGTGAACCTATATCTTCTTTCTCCTTCCTCCTCACCACCTCATCCNTAATACCTTTTTTGCTTCACAACTCAATTTAATTCCCTTCCATGATTCCATAACAAACACTTTTAAATCCACCGTTTCAATGTACGTATCTTTATCTAATACTCATAATTTCTATTACTATGGTCTCTTTATCTAATACTCAAGTTTCAAAGACAATAAATTTTAATTTTTCTCAATCACTCGAGATTTGGTTTCCAAAGAATACAACTTTCATTCAAAATCCGTTAGCATTGGCAGAAAAAATTACCTAACAACATTGACAGATATTGGGTGGAAAAATTCCTCGAGCTAGCTTTTTTATTTTTGTCTCAGTCAATCTTCAACCTCTTTTATTCATCTCTCACCCTAGTTTTCTTTCTCTTGGCATCTTTGTCAAATACCGTTATCATTATTCAATCAAGATGAAACTCAAGATTTTGGTATGAACTGTGAAGTGCTACAGTGACCAGAGAAGTAAAAATTTGGGAAAGGGATTACAGAAAAAAGTGAAAACGGAATGAAAATAGAAATAATTTAAAAATGGAAAACGTAAAATTAAATGATGACATGGTAATGGTGTGGCAAAATTATAGGGAGAATGTAAATCACCTCCTACTATGCAACGGATTGTATATGCATAAAGGGGTATTAATTTCACTCTACATAATAATAACGGGTACATGAACACTCGTAGAGTTTGTTCAATCGAATTATTCGTACAAGTTTAGGGGGAATTTTATGTATTTTGCCTTTAATTTAAGTTATTTGCATTGATAGTATAAATTTTTTTGCACTATCAGCATAATTTAAACACGTGTTACTAGTTTTTCGAGTTATCAATAATGCTTATTGTAAAAAATTACATGTAATAAACGTTTAAGCTAGCACATGATTGAGTAAATATTTCTAGAACATTGCTGCATCGAACTTAATTAAACTCTACTTACTATAGACAGTTACTTGTAATTAGATTATACGTAACATGTAGTGTTCGTGAAAAAGTTTGCACTGTTAGTTTATAAATTATAAGATAAATCCTTTACTTAAACATGTAATCTACCTTGTGCAGACGCGTTTAAGAGGATGGATGTTTTCCAGAGGAATTAAGGCAAGATTTAAAGGGATTGATTGCCACTCATCTCAGTACTAAAGGAGAAGGCATAGTAGTGTCTAAATGGATATCAATCCGCACTGGCTCGTCAAACATTGCGACATCCTATCCGCAAAAACTTGCCAAAGTATTCCTTAAGGGGTGGGAATCTATACTCAAAGATCTCGCATTAATCGAATTTGATAAACTGCAACGCATTTACAACGAAGAAATACGTCAAGTTCTGAAGTAAGTTCTGTTCTTTCCCATTGCTTTAACTATATATCTTCTCGAAAAAGCATTTTTTTAGTACAATGTAACATGAATTCTTACATCCTACTATGTAGTGATCAGCCTGGTCACGTGTGTCTCTTTGTCATATTAGATGGAGGAAGGAACTTAATTTCTCGGACTCAAGACTTAAATGGTATATGTGGTCCGTGGGAGCTGTGCCGGGTCCAACAATGTCCAAGGAACGAATGGAGCCAGTTAAACCAATCTCTCTTGTCTACTTAGTCGATGATATGTTTGATATTTATGGTACTCTCGACGAACTCGTTCTGTTCACAGAAGCTGTCAACGGGTAGGTACAATCTGAAAACTTTATATTTTAGGGTGTGTTTGGTATTACGAAGGAAAACATTTTCCCGAAAATATTTTTTAATTTTTCCACGTTTGATTGGCTTAAATATTTTGGAAAACATACATTTTCCAAAACTCCTTCTCAATCTTCCCCACCCTATTCCCCCATCTCACACCNATTTTACAAGTTATGAGTTCGGAGGTTTATGTGTTTGGAAGTTTACGGGTTTGAAAATTATAAAGTTTACGGGTTCAAAAGTTCGCGGTTTTGCGTAAAAAGTAAAGCAGCACGTTAGTTCCTTTGGGTTGTATCAGTTTTTAGAGACTTGGGGAAGGGGAGGGGTAGGGGTGGGGGGAGGGGTGAGGAGAGTTGCATAAAAAATATTTTCCTAAAAAAATATTTTCTACTGTCTAACCAAACATTAGAAAATATCTTCCACTCACCAACCAAACAAGGGAAAATAAGTGATAAAACTGCTCATTTTCCATGAAAACATTTTCTAGGAAAATATTTTCTATGAAAAACATTTTCCTTCGTACCAAACACACCCTTAACGTCCGTTTGTTTTAGATTAACAAGATTTCATTTAGCTAATAAATTTAAAATACAAATAAAAAGTATTTCTCCCTCCGTTAGATGGGAAATCTCTGCTATCGAGCAACTACCAAACTAAATGAGGATGTGCTTCATGACTTTATATGAGACAACAGAGCATATTGGTCTTGTGGTGTATAAAGAGCATTGGTCGAAGGGGTGCACATAGGTCGGGTTGGTTCGGATTTTTCAATTACCAAACCAAACCAATTGTATCGGGTTATTAAATCTAAAGACCAAACCAATTGTGTCGGGTTATTAAATCTAAAGAGCAAACCAATAAAAGTCGGGATTTTTTCGGGTTTTTTTTATAAAGTCTTCATAGCACAAAATATAGAATTTATGCTCCAAATATTTCTTTAATCATTGTAAGACGAAACTATATAAGGTATTTTTCAATAAAATAACATTAATATGAGATGAGTCATGGCATTGTACTAAAATATTCAACAATCAAGATAATAAAATCGCATAAAATAAATATTATTAATAAGCCATAATGAAAACAAACACAATTTAAAATTACTAAGTTGCTAAAATAAATACGACTAATAAGTACTAATTATTTACATGACTAAATATTAAAAGAAAAATAAGTTATGTATTTTATCTAAACCATGGGAAAACTAAAAAATAGATATTTAACACTTTTTTCAGTCATAGTACTATTGAATTGAATGTCTTTTATTAGCATTAGTATTGATTTAATTTTGGTTTAGGATTTATTTGATTTATTACAATTTAAATTTATTGGAGCATCCAAAATTATAAGTGCAAGCTTGAAATAATACGTTAAAAGATAAAACTATGAAAAAGCTTAAGAAATATTTATAAACTACACTACAATAAATATTCCGATGTATTAAACATATTTAAAGCTTCTATATATATATAATGTCGGTTGGTTTGGTTTCGGTTTGACTTTTTTCAGTTAAAACCAAACCAAACCAATTATGGTTGGGTTTTTTTTCTAACACCAAACCATAGTCAGGTTTTTTTTCTCGGTTTGACTCGGATTATCGGATTGGTGCGGTTTGTCGGTTTCATTTGTACACCCCTAGGTCGAACCATACTGACCACTTGAGAAAAGCTGTATGTTTTTGACAAACTTGTAGTAGTACTAATTACTAAAGTATTTGTAAAAATACCACTTTATTTAAGCTGATCTATTTAAAATTATCGTAGTGGGCAAGTTTGCACGATGCATGTCTGGAGGAAGCTAAATGGTTTAATTTTGGAGATATGCCAGCAGCAGATAGGAGTAGTTAAAGAATGGGATAGTATGTTCAGGGGTGCCTATGGTGCTTATCAACCTTTACTTTCTCTTGGGGCATGGAGCAGCAACTAAATATTCTTCAAATGTCTTGGCTAATGTACAAGGCATGATATCTTCCATTGCCCAAATTCTTCGCCTTCTAGATGACCTCGGGAATGCTCAGGTAAAAAGATAATGGTTTTCAATTTCAAATGATTGTTTTTCTTTTTACCTACTATACCCCTAAAGGATCAACAATAGTTCTTCACTTACCTCCACTGTAACTTGAACCTTGGATCTACTGATTACCTCCACTGATTCTCAAGTTCAGTGGCGTATGCGAGATTTTGTTAGTGGAATCGATCTATTGTCCCAATTGACTTGTAAGTGAAGTCTAGAGTTATAGTATTAGTTTTGAAACTTTACTTCCTGTATTGAAACTTAATTTATGTTAATTTTTAACTGGTGTTGGCCTGTTGTATATGTGTATAGTATTTTCTGGAAAAATGTTACTCACACACCCATATGTAAGGAAATCTTTTTGCCAAGCGTTGTCACATGGCACCCTTTCTAAAGGGTGTCTTTATCACTGATGATTAAGTGGAGGTGTGTCACCAAGCCAGGGAAAGGTTAACCATCAAATTATATTCTCCAATTTTTCTTCTAATTCCTAGTTTTAATTGTTCTGTAGGACAAGCAGCAAGAAGGGAGTGATGGATCGTATATAGAGTACTTGATGAAAGAACAACATGGCTTAACTACTGAAGATGCAAGGCAACATGTTATTGACATGGTTTCAAACATATGGAAAAATCTTAACAAACAATGCCTATCACCAACTCCAATTCCATTCTCCTTTCAAAAGACATGTCTCAATGTAGCCAGAACGGTTCCTATGATGTACATATATGATGAGAATCATCACCTTCCTGTTCTAGAAGATCGTATAAGGATAATATTTTGTGACAAAGATGTGGAGACTCACGATTATGCACATAATTGAGTTCTTTGGCAACATGAAAAATCATATCTATAATTCAAGGATAAAAAGATGGTCAAGCGCAAGGGTATCTTTTACCTTAAGTATAGCACGAAATTAAGATAATGCATATGGTTTTTACTTTAGTTTTACTCAAATCCATAATGCTTAGGGATATGCCTTATCTATTCTAGTTAGATGTGTAGAGGTATTAGTCAAGTCCCTTCCACTTTGTCTATTTCCCTTTTGCCTATAATTTTCGGCAACCCAAGTTACCAATTCAAAAAAAAAAAAAAAAAAAAAAAAAAAAAAAAAAAAAAAAAAAAAATCGGCAACCTATTGGTGATTGTTTAAAAATAAAGTTGAATGTATTAAGTCAACAGACTTCTCATATATGTTGATGATGAAAGTGTGAATTGACGGAAATCCTCAGAATTTCAAATCTTCTTTCATAGCAGATTAAAAGGTATTATTATTGTTGCATTGAAGTTAATAATGACATAGACCTACAGTGAGATTTGAGTTTATACTGCTGAAAGTTTTATGGCTAACCCTTCAACCTACTACGGTTGACCTATTGTACTGAGTGTATTGTTTTTTAGTCAGTCCAATTGAACTGGGTGTATTACAATCTTCTTTTATTTTTCACAATCGAAAATCTTAAGAGAGCCAACTGGGCACGATTTGAAGCTCGATAAAATTAGCATTCCACTTTGCTATTTTTGCCCGTGGCAGAGTTCGAACTTGTGACGCGAGCCTAAACACACACATCATACGTTGTGTTCTTGCTACTGAACCAAAACCGGGGAGCCTGGGTTTTCTTATAAATCTTTTGCCTCTAATATAGGTGCCTATGGTGCTAACACTAATTATCTTTCCTTTAGTTATAATGCTCCTACCAACAGTGCTAACATTATCAGCTGATCTGGAAGCTTTCATATCATTGATATACCTCAAGCCCAGGATAAGATTCTTTAGCATGGTTAATTAAGACTGGCAAATTCGTTTTGATATATTCTGCAGTTAACATAACAATGGACCTAAATAGCTAATAGCAAAACTTTTATACGTTCAGTTGAAGCATTCCTCAGAACTTATACTCTTATTAAATCATGAGGGCAGTTTATACAACAACAACAACCCAGTATAATCCCACTTAGTGGGGTCTGGGGAGGGTAGTGTGTACGCAGACCTTACCCCTACCCCAGGGTAGAGAGACTGTTTCCAAATAGACCCCCGGCATCCTTCCCTCCAAGAACTTCCCACCTTGCTCTTGGGGAGACTCGAACTCACAATCTCTCGGTTGGAAGTGGGGGTTGCTTACCATCAGAGCAACCCCTCTTGTCAGCAAGAACAGCAGTACAAGCAAACAGCACATATATAAAAGCACATAACTATTGGCGCAAAGGCAACAAAAGCTTATACCGGAATCGCTTATATGATTTGGCCAAGTCCACCAGCTCCTTTGCATCTTCAAGCTTCGAATGCTCCGCCATGTCATCAACTACCCTCTGCATTGTTGCATTATGAACACTAACTTTTGAATTCATAGCTTTCTTACACAAGTCAAGTGCAAAATCAAGATTAACCTTGTCACAAGCAAAATGAATGAGCATCCCAAATGTTGCATTATCCGGATAACGCTCGTTTTCCACCATTTTCTCATACCATCTTTTTGCCTCCTCCAAGTTCCTATCATCCACAAACATTTTGATCATCGTGTTATAACTCAAAGCATTCGGGATGATGTCTTTCTTCCCCATCTCCTCAAACAACTCAATCGCCTTGTTAACCTGGTTATTCGCAACTAAACCTCGTAATCTGATGTTGTAACTCCACAAGTCAGCAACAATGTTTTTCTTTTGCATCACTACCCACAAATCCTCTGCTTCAGAAAATTTTTTACAATCATGATACGCGTTCAAAAGCGTATTGAAAGTCACTTTATCAGGTTTAATCCCCTGATTTTCCATCTCCTCCATTACACTGACAGCAGAATCCAAAGAACCAGCTTTACATAATGCCTTAATCAAGGTATTATAGGACACTACATCACGCTCAATCGATAACTCCTCAGGTAATTCCTGAAACAACTCTCTCACAGTGTCGTACTTTTCTGCCCTAACGCAGGCTTCTAAAAGGGCATTGAAAGCGTAAACAGTTCGTTGACATTTTAAGTTTGGCATTTCGTCGAACAATTTACGGGCATGTTCATACATTTTTGCTTGGCCGTATAAGAGTATGAGGCGGGAGACAAATAACTCATTGTTAATTTCTGGGTATTGTTTTTGGTGCTCAAGAATGTCTTCGATAGCGGAAGAATTATTGTCAAGGCGGCGAATGGCGGTTTGATAGTTGGAGTTATGGCGTCGGAATTGAGGGGATTCCGACGATTTTTTGAAGTTGTTAATTATAGTTTGGAGTTCTTGTTTTTCGGTAAGTTTAGGTGTGAGCTTGGTGGATTTTAAGAAGGTTGTTTTGGGCTTGTCAGTTTTAAGCTTGATGGTTACTTTTTGATTCTCCGTAAAGATGCCGTAAAGCCGGCGATAAAGGGAAGAAGAAGACATGTGAAATGTCGCTAGATTAGAATTTCGTAGTTGAGGTTTAAACCAATTAGGAAAGTGGGCTTGCTCTATATGAAGCCCGGTCCAGAATATGGTCTAAATGATCCCGTCTTATCCCTTACTTTTTCGAGAAACATTTCAGAATTAGCTATTTGTAGCTACCATTTACTATATTACTTTCTATAATTATGTTTTTAGATTTTTTTAGAGTGTATTCGTATTTAAGCTACTATATTCATGAATAAAATAACATTTCTAGGCGTGAAACAAGGGATTAAAGGTAGACAGAATTTTGTATTCGACTATATTCATGGCGTGAAACATGAGATTACAGCTGGACAGTTTATTGTATTCGACTGTACTCACGGCGTGAAACAAGGGATTACACTATTTTTAAACGGAAAGTGAATCAATTAACATAATAGACTCCTAATATAACTCAACAAACTCAATTATAACAGACAAATTTTGTATTTCCAGTTATAAAAAGATTCTCAACCGAAAAATACCCCCAAAACATAGTAATCTTCAGAGAAATTATATAATACATCTAAATACATAAATTATATTAATTAAAAAAAATATATATGAATACATTCATGGAATATAACGAGACAGTGAATACAATGAAATACATAGAATACAGCGGGATACATTGAAATACAATGAAAAAAGACAATGAATACAATGAAATACATAGAATACAGCGGGATACATTGAAATACAATGAAAAAAGACAATGAATACAATGAAATACATAGAATACAGCGAGATACATTGAAATACAATGAAAAAAAGATAATGAATACATTGAAATACAGCGAGATACATTGAAATATATTAATAGAAAATACAAGTTCCATTACAGCGAGAAAATATCTGTCAAAATCTTTCCTTCTTCCATTGCTTTTTCAAGAGCAATTGTCTGTAAATGGCGACAATTTCACTGTCTTTTGTTTGACTGTGTCGACTTTGTGTACTCTTTTAGTAAATAAGAAGATTAGACCTGAGAGAGAAATTTCACGACTTCTTCTCTTTCTCCAGCGAGATTAAAATTCGACTGTGAATGAGATTGGGTGGCTGAGGGCGGCAGTATCAATGAATAACGACCACGGTAGAAATGGTGACGGTGGCAATTGCTCCAGCGTTCGGCAGATGAGAAGATATCAAGAAGTAGAGAGAGAGGGAGAATATATACGGGGTAGGGGATAGGAGAAATTTGAGGGGATATGAGAGAGAAAAATAGTACAAAACTTATTTTATGGCTTAAGAATAGAAGGCGATCATAAATAAATATTTGGGTATAAAAAATCAAAAGTTAGTTATGGAATATAATTTTTTAAAAGGATATTTATTTAAAATAATAAGGTATCAACATTTGCTATAGGAGGTAATTTATGCTACTTTTTCACTAGTCACAACTCCCCTTCTAAATGGCCAACAACTACCTTGGTAACAACAAAAATTTTGCAATTATATTATAGGGTTAATTCTTCATTATATTATAATATAATAATATAATTTAATTTAAATTTCAACTATAAAAATTAAAAGGAGTCAAAGAATCAAGTCTGAACATAACAAAATTTATAGGAGAATTCAGTTCGTGTTGGTTTATTGCCCTTCAGTTTATTTTTTTTCATGTTAACTATATTCTATATGTATGTGAGTGTTGTGTAAGTATATTTTGGTTTGCATCTGTCCATTGTTTGGGTTAGGGCATCTTTTTGTGAAGTGTCTTTTCATTTATTTTGATTATTGATTAATAATTTCTTGGAACTTAACTGACAATTTTAAAGTTTTGTCAACAACTAACCTCTTCTGTTTGCAAAATAAAGTCGACTTTCTTGAATATTATGAAATTTTACGTAATATTGATATATTGTCTTGTAAACACTTACACATCATCGTATAAAAAGTGTTAGCAAATTTAATAAAATTTTAGGTTCTAATTTAGATTGTAGAAAACTTCTTTGGAAAAAATATTGAAAAGGATAAAGGGATGGGTTAGGATGGCTGTTTTGAGGCCCTTTGAAAGTGGCGGAGCTGATGCAAACGGCCGTTTTCCTCCATTACTCGTTGACAAACTATAGGTATGAATTCTCAAGTCCTATTTCAAGGAAACATATTATAATAACATACTTTTAAAATTAAGGATTCAATACTATTAATTCAATTAAGAGATATATATAAGGGATATGAAATGTTGCAAATTTGAAAAAAAAAAAAGTATTCATGTAATTTTCTAAAAGCAGTGGTAACTTATTTAAATAAGTATTAAATAAGTTGTATTTTGTGTAAATTCCTCATTTTTTCACATGCGGGTTAGAACGCCAAATGGTAAAAGAATAATCTCAGGGAAAACCCACAATATCCTCTTGTTTATTTTGAAGCCAAAAATAGAGAGGTCAATGAAAAATCATAAGCACCCATTAAACAAATAAAATATCAACAAAGGAAGCAAAACAATTGGCCAGATTACAAAACTATAGAAGATTCGTTTGACACATGAACAAGCTCGGAAGGTTGTTTATATTGGTCAGGGGCTGGTGCTGTCCCATACTGCTTAGTTGCAATTAGACTTTTCCTTAACATGAAGACTACCTTCGTGATCAACCATCCTGGCTCCTGCTATCCCATTTTTGTCCATCTATTGTGATCTTCACATTTACCAAAACATCTACATTGTATGGGAAAATCACGCTGCCTTGGGGGCCATAATATTCTGTCCTTTTCCGATAATAAATCTTCTATTTCACATATGCATACATAAATGGAAATCTACGAGTCACCTTCGAGAAAGATGCCTTATTCGATGACAACTCGAGGAATACGAACCTTCCAACGGTTAATTACATGTCCTGGTAGAGTGTGAAAATCGAATCAGCATGTATGAAGTAATAAGTTTTTTGATACATAAACAGCTTTGCACCTGACTGAAAGAGCATCATCAGTAACAAGCAGAACATAGCAAACATGCTTCTTTCCGTGTTGTAAGTATAGTTTCCTTTGGCAAACTGGAACCAATAGAATATCCAAGCTATTTACTACTAGGTCAAGCCAATTATAGGAACCATAACAGTCAAAATGTAACATACTTAACGGAAATGCAACAAGCTAAATTTTCTATAGAGCACCCAAGCATTCCTCAGACCTTTTATCAACTTCATCTTTAAGGCAAGATCAAGCTTGTCAAGTAAGCGATCAAAAGATTAAAACATAGTTGAAACAACTAGTTATGCAAAGGCAAGGAAAGCTCATACTGGAAGCTCTTACAAGACTTGGCCAACTTAACCAGCTCTTTTGTATTTTCAATCTTAGAATGCTCAACCAAGCCATCGACAACCCTCTGCATTAAACAATTATAAATAGCTTTGAATGATTTGATTGCTTTCTTGCACAAGTGCTGTGCAACATCAAAATTATTGGCATCACAAGCCAAAGTAATAAGCATCGTAAATGTTGCATAATCCGGAAGGCATCCATTTTGCATCATCTTCTCATACCACATTTTAGCCTCCTCTAGATTCCTCTCAGCAACACACATTTTTATCATGGCATTGTAACTGAATGTGTCCGGTTTGAAACCCTTGTTAACAATCTCCTCGAAGAACTGAATCGCTTCTGAAACCTCATTAGCTTTAACCAAACCATTTAATTTAATATTATAACTATAAAGGTCAGGGACTATATGTCTCTTTTCCATCACAGCCCACAAATTTTCAGCTTCAGAAAACCTTTTACTTTTATGAAATGCGTTTAATAACGTATTACAAGTCACAATATTCGGCTTGATCTCATGCTTTTCCATCTCATCCATAAAATACACGGCAGAATCCAATGAACCAGCCTTACATAATGCCTTAATGGCAGTGTTATAGGACACTAGATCAGGCTCAATTGACAATTTCTGGGGCAATTCGCGAAATAACCCGCCAATTTTATCATATCTCTCTGACTTAAGACATGCCTCCAAAAGGGCATTGAAGGAAAAGACAGTGCGCGGACATTTTAATTGAGGCATTTCGTCGAACAGCTTACGGGCATTATCATACATTTTGGCTTTGCCATAAAGAAGAATAAGACGGGCGACAAAGTACTCATTACGAATATCTGGGCAGTGTTTTTGATGCTCGATAATATCTTCAATGCCGGAGAAATGGTTGGCGTCGGCAAGTTGGCGAACGGTAATTTCATAATGGAAGCGTTGGCGTCGAAATTTGGGGCATTCCGATGATCTTTTAAAATAATCTACAATTGCTTGGGGTGTGCGACAGTTGGGTCTTGAAGAAGTAATGGTGGCTTTTGTTGTTGTGATATCTATAATTTTGGTGGGTGCAGTGTTGTTTCCGGCGAGGAGACGGCGGAGAGGTGAAGAAGTAGACATCTGATTCGCTGATTTTGGCGCTGAGTACCACTTCGCCAGATTGATCTACAATGTTACCATTTCTTACCTTATGTTTATCAACGTAAGTATTGCATCCGGTAGTATTTTTATGTAACTAATCTTAGTGTACGCGCGTGGCGTGTGTATATCATTATATAAATATTATATTAAAATTATGTTTAAATTATAAATTATTTAGTGATAGCTTTGTAAGTGATAATATTGGACCTGAATAGGTAACTCGAAGAAGTAAGAAACTTTGTCGCATAAAAAGTCATCCATCATCATAGTCACTTTAAACTTTGTCTCAGTTTTATAATTTTGTTGCTTCAATTTCACAAGTTATCAAATTATTCCCTTTTAGTTTAGCTAAGACACATAAGCCCTTGAATACTTAAGAGTTTTTGTGCAAATATTTTTGGAAAGTTATACTCAAGTTCATCCGAGAATACACAAACATGATCAACTACACTTTTATTATTATGTAATTATGGGAAGTGGTCTAACTAAACGACACATGACAAGTGTAAATTAAAAAATAATGGTCTATAATGTAAATACCGGGTGTGAGAACCTTTAGTAAATAATGGCACAAATGAGCCAATAGTGTACGATCAGTGGCATGAATATATCTCATTTTTAACGGGTGGCATAGATATGCCATTTTTTAAAGTTTGATAACATATTTGAGTCTTTTTCCATAACTCTAAATTGAAAATTGAATTTTTTGATCTTTAAAATTTGTGAATAAGAGGTGGTGCTATAGCTCAAAAAAGAAAATTGATAAAATAAAAATATAAAGCCTAAAAATAACTAATGTTAGTTAATATTTTAGAACAAGTTATTGTTTGTTAGGATGAATGCAAAGATAAAAAATAATTAATAACAACTCATTTAGGATATATTTTGTCCCTACTGTTTCATCATTGTTATGTCAAGTTAGCAATTTTATCAATCTGAATATTAATACTATATTAAGAATTTTTTCAACTTAAAAAATAATTCTTTTTATATGATAAATTTAAAAAGAATTGAGAGTTATATTTCCAAAGGGTACAAATAAATATCTTCCTAACATTTTACTTTTAAATCTTTGTTTTATAGAATTATGTGTGTCATTGACTTTTATCAACCATGCCTTTTCTCTCTTTTATCAATTTTTAATTTTTATTATTGAATATAATTTTCTAATATCATACAAAAAATAGATGAACAAAAAAAAAACATTATTTAAGTAGAAGACTAAAAGTTATAAATGAATAAACGACATGTTTGTTTTAGACTACTCTTTCCAAGTATTCAAATAGATGACTCTAAAATTTGTACTCAGAATTAATTATTGTGTTTCACCTAAATAAAATTTATTTATTTACTAAAATTGTGATGTTATTAAAATTAAAGAATACAAGCTGAATGATATAGACATGATGTTTATTATTTTTGAACCTAACCTAAGTCAAAGAAACTAAGCCTAAACAAATAACAAAGCAAATTAATTGTGAAGTAAAAAATAACTTGATTGTAAATTTTCTAAATATTAAAAGTTCTTATATAATTAAATAAGGAAAGACTTAGTAATCTAAATTTTAGTATTTTAAAGTGTTAAATATTTGGAAAATAATAAATGACTATTCCTAAATATTAGGAAAATGATCAAATTACTATTTTATCCAATATGAACTCTATTTTAAAAGGGTAAAAAAGATGAACTACATTTCGCCAAGGGCTTTCGTACTTTTAATATAACTAGTCATAGAGTACGCGCGTTGCGCGTGCACTCTATTTTAATAGGTGCTAAAATTTTAAAAATCATATGATTATTAGTATTAGAAAATATGATTGAGTCATAAAAAAGTTTAAGAAAAAATATAAAATTATAAAGTTGGTAAATATTGAATTTTAATCGATTATAATCTCCTGTGTCTTTCTTTTATAGAGTATTGATTTGACATGGAACCATAAACTCATATCATGAAACCATAAAATCATATTTAATTTTATGATTATGTATGTCCCTTAACTGCTATAAGGATTTGTATGCTTCAGTTGTGATTTTTTTGTGAAAACAAATAGGAGAATATTGCATGCTTAAATTTTTAATAATTTTTCGATATGGAGGAGCTTCTTTGTCTGTGACATTGAAGGAATTATAGGTATATTATATAGTTCAAATAAGGTCTATGAAAAACGAGCACGTTACCAGAGATATAGCATGTACAATGGTTATCCTTAAATCTCATACCTGAGAGAGGCAATAGCGTGAGTGGATTCTGGCGTCGACCCTACCTTATGAGTCTTCGGACTATAACAGTTCCGATGATAGGCTAACATATCCCTGCGATAGAGATTATATTCATGCCCTTTTTAAAACATGGGCAATATAACACTTGTAAGACTTTCATCAAGGCTATATTGACAGTTTGCATTTTATATATATATAAACATGTACATTACAAAATAATAATCAGAACACTTACGTACAAGTATGCCTGATAAAATAAATAGAAAATGACTATTAAAGTAAATACAAGATAAAAAGAACATAAAAATAAAAACTTATCTAACATATGCTTGAAGATTGGATTAAGACCAGCCAAGGGCGTCTCTTCCATAAAGCAACTGCTTTAGGCTCCACATTTATGGAGGCCCCATTTTTTGTTACACCTAATAGGTTATGTATACATTTAAAAATAATCTGTGAAGTGAAAAAGTTTGATTTCTTTCTTTAACAAATATAGAGAAGAAGGATTTGCAACTGCTATGATTTTTGCAAAGGAAATTGCACTTGAAATAAATATTGAACCCGAATTTCGTATGAAACGTGTGATGTATAAGAAGTAACAATTTGATGAGGATGTTGATAATGAAATCTCCACATCTTTCGATAAGTCCTTTAGAGGACGGGTTATTCACATTTCATTTGATGGTCATAGGCAAATTGAAAGTTAAGCAATGGGATTCCCCGGGGAAAAAATAGAGATGTCTCCTATGTTAACCATTGATTACTTTTATATAGTATACAAGGCTAATTTTTCACTTCAAAATATATTTGAACAATTCGAAGCATATGAAAATATTTTTGGTTTTCCATTTAGTGGTAAAAACTAAGATCACTAGATGATGAAAATTTGAAAAAATATTATCTTTAATCTTGAATGTTCCTTAAAGCATAATAATCAATTCTATATTGATGGTTTAGATTTATTTTTTTGAATTAAAAGTATTAAGGAAAATAGTACAATTAGAAAATAGTAGTTTAATTGATACACTCAATCAAATAAAAAGATTTAATTCTTTTCCAAATTCCTATATTGCTTATGGAATAATGTTAATAACTCATGTTACCATTGCTTCAGTGGAAAGAAGTTTTCAAAAATTAAAATTGATAAAATCTTACTTAAGTTCAACAATGTCTCAAAAGAGGTTAAATGGATTGGCTATATTGTCAATTGAGAAAGACTTATTAGGAGAAATTAATTATAAAAACTTATTAATAATTTTGCATCTAAAAAAAAGCTAGAAAAATAGATTTAAAAAATTAAGGCCCCTTATAAAATTTGGCTTTAGGCAACAAAATTAGTTGGGTCGCCCCTGAGACCAGCTAAAAAATATCGGCTCAGTGAGCCGAAGAAGAAGAATCAAGTTGTTGAATTGTAGGCGAGCTGAATTTTTTTTTGATAAGTTAAGTAACGATTTTATGAATAAGTCAAAAACAAATTTTATTGCGCAGAAGTAAAAAACTAAAATCGCTTTTAAATAAAATATGTCTCACTTTAGTTCCTCAACTGACGCAATGTAGAAAGTACTCTCTCCGAGTTTGATGTGCAGCAACTGAACGGCGAGGCCAAGAAGCTTTCACTGTGAAACTTTCATATTTACCAGTATGGTTCTCTAACCGGGAACAAGCTTTTAAAGGACCTCTTCCATGAAATAAATCAAATTATCCCCCAAACGAATTCCTTCTTTAACTTTGAAACCTAATTTTTAGACAGTTCAAGGAAGGAAAAAAAATATAAAAGGTAAAGTATAATTGATTTTAAGACCTAAATATTAGAATATCATATTTAGTTCAAGTAAGAAAACATTTAGTAACTAAAATTTTAATTGATCTCTAAGTCCTAAATATTAGGAAAATAATTGAATAACTAACATTTTATATTTTCTTTTTAGTAATTTAATATTGTAAGAATTAGTGATAATATTCATTTTAACTGTCTCACAAGATATTTATTTATAGTTCTTAGAGCTGTCAAAATGGGTTTGGCCCATGAGGCCAGTCCAACCCAGCCCGCTACTTGGGTAGGGCTGAGTTGAGATTGTTTTAACCAATTTAAAATTGAGGCTTATAAGCCCGGCCCAAATCACATCGCTGACCCTTGAGGCTTGACCGAGGCTGGGCCCGGGCTGACCCGTGGGCCAAAAATTAATTAAATTCATATTTAAATATTTTAAAAAAAGTAAAAACTAAAAAAATATTAACTATAATCCATATTTTCCACCCTTAGAATTCTCATTTATCCTTCCATATCAACTAAAATTTATATTTTTGATATGCATGTAGTATGACAAGATTAATTTTTCTTTTGCTTAATTTAACAACGAACTAGAAAAGTTTTAAGTGGCCAATAGTAATTTTTTCAAAAGAAATATTATTTTAAGTGTCCAATGATCAATTTAGTTACTTTAATATATTATTAATTATTAAATTGCTCTTCAGTATAGAAAAAGGTCAAGTTTTAATACCTAAAGAAAATTGAAAAACACTAGCAAATTTCGTGAATTTTAAAAATTTCATGGACTATAATGATAAAATCAACAAATAATGTTAAACCTATTAAAAAACCTTTAACATATAAACTCATCGAAGTTCTGCCTGAATCTAAGGAAAGTGTAAGAAAAGTATTAAAAAAAGATATTATGTAACGTTAAAAAAAAAAAAGAACTAGAGATATAGAGAATTTGCATTTCAATTACGAGATTCCTTATCAAATATCAAGATT